ATTTTGTTTTCAAGTGTATTCACAATTTTAAAAAATAATATCAGAGTTTGTTTGTTGTTATTATAAATATAAAGTTAAAAGTCTTAATTTTGATAGTTTATTTCTAGTAGTTTCTTGAACTTTAGTTTAGGTTTACTTGTCATTTTTTATTTTATACTTTTAAAAAATATAAGTTTGTTTATTACATATTCCTTTTTACGATGAAAATTAAAATTTGAAAACTATTGTTTTTAGGGTTTGTAATTTATGTGTATGAATGCTCTCTTTTAACTTGTAATGAGATACATTTAATTACAGCCAATTTTTTTTTTAAACTCAAATGAATTGATAAGAACTACTTAGGCCAGGTGTATTTTCTTATTTTACTAATTTTCCCCCTTTTTGTGATGTAAATGAGGACAAAAAAATGTAAGGAATGACCCGTGTAATTTTATAGAGACAAGTTTCATTCTAATAATAATTCAAGACAACTTGTGAAATCTCTATATCTTAGGAAAAATGTTTGGGACATCAAGTGTCAAAATCTTTATCGTCCAAGTCCTAGATATAAAGGTAATATAACATTCTTAAACAATCATCATTTTATAAATTTTGATAATTAATCTCAGCACTGGTTAACTATAATCAAATAAGTAACAAATAAATCATAATCATATAGTAATCATTGACTAACTTAGATATTAATACTTATAAAAAATCACTCGTGAACATATATTTTACCTTAGAAGTCACGTTACATATGGTCAAGCAATCATCACATATAAGTCAAAATGCATATAAATTGGTCGATAAAGTATTTAGAAAAGTATATATTGTTTTGATTTAAGTTATTTTGAAATAATTTTTTTTTTAATTTAGAAAGATAGAAGAGAGGATCACATTTAACATGACAATGTATTGTTTGGTTGTTGTGTGGACCACTTGGCTCCAAAAACCCTTTTGGTCTCACTTATTGATGATGACGTTATGGCTTCCTTAATAGATTCCCTTTCCCCTTTCTTTCTTTCTTTTCCCCACTCTCTCTCCTTTTCCTCACGCGCCACCACTTTACCATACAAATATCCAAGTTTTCATTTTTTCTTAGGTTGGATCCGACTCACGACATCTAGATTTAAGATATATACCAATTATTATTGAGTTGAGCTTGCTTTGGTATCTAAATTTTCATTTGATTGATATAAATTTTGGATACTATTTTGATAAGTGTACTTTTAGATTTAGTTCATTTTACTTTCTATACTTCTAAAATGTTCATTTTAATTGTCTCTCCACTTTTAATTTTGGTTTATTTTGTCCTAGTAAGTTTTAATCCCTTTATTTTTAAAAGATTATCAATCTGGTCTATATTTGCAAAATTTTAATGTAAACTCTCTACATAATAGAATCTTTTGATATAAAATTTTAATGACTATATTTCAAGAAATTTAGAGAATTAAGTGTTATGCTGAACTTTATGATAAAAAAATGAGATCAAAATAGTCATTTTTAAAAAATACAAACACTAAAATGAACAAAAAATTGAAAGTATAATAACCAAAATAGAACTGTTTATGGCATGGTCTTGTTAATCGCATCTCGAAACAAAACGTTTTAAGCATCACCTTAATTTGACACATACTTTACATGATATGTAATCGATGAACTGGAAAGTAATATTACGGAGGTTTGAATATTTGATAAATCTGATAATATTTATCGAAGTTTTAACAAAGCTATCGAGACTAAATTGAAAATGTTAGAATTATAGGAATAAGCCGAGTACAAATCATTTTTTGAGTCACACCATGTGTATTAGATTGGATATGATTTTTCAAATGGGCTCGCGTTATTAAATAATGGATGAAAAATCAATRAGGACTATAGTTTTTAGATAGGGAAGTGTGAAATTTAATGTAAGTTTGGAGGACCCCTTGGCTGGACATGGGGCATAGGTGATGAGTCCTGACAACGTTAGAATTGTAGTTAGCTTTGGGGGCCAAAGTCAATCCCAAGAACAGTGACCCTTCATAGTTCATAGGGTCCTAATTTCTTATAAATGTACTATTCAACAAGATTACGATCTCCTCCTAGTATCCATCTTTTATGGCCGTAACTATTACCATATCTAATCCCAAGATTTTCAAGTATTAAATTTAGAGATAAACCAACATTTCTATATTAGTACCTAAAAAGTTTGACAAAATATACCAATTAATTTAGACATTTGTCGTGATTTTTTTTTTTAATTTTTCTAAAGATATCTATTGATATTGACATTTTATCGATATGTTCATCGACATTTTCATAAAATTAAAATATCAACATTTAAGACTTAAATGTTGGTATTGACATTTTATCGATATTTTCTTAAATATTTTTTTTTTCAGAGATATATATCGACGTTRACATTTTATCGATATTTCATAAAATTAAAATATCAACCATTTAAGACCTTGATTAGACGAGTAAAGTGCTTTTGTTCTTTGTTTTAAAGTATTACAATTTGAATTAGTTTTATAATTTTTTATTTATTTTTAATAATTCTTTTATTTTATTCCATATAYTTTTATAAATATAATAATATACAACCCTCAAGTAAATAATAACTCTCATAAAAACAAAATAAAAAATAATAATAACGGAAAAAGTTATATAAATTAAAAGTCAATGTGAACTTCGCTCAACATTTAAGGTATCTTGTTATTTTTTCAGAGATGGGAAGTTCAACCATTTTTTTAAATATAAACATTAATGTAAAGTTTTGATGAGACATATTAACATTGTTGTGTGAGTGCATATAATGTTAGCTTCTACATGATATTATATCAACTTTACGTTATTACTTATCCAGCTAATTTATAAGGAGCACTAAACAAATAAGGTAAAATAACGAACACAAAGACTAGAATTATAACATAATGAGTATTTTGTGCTTTCTTTACTTTTTTTTTATTTCATAATAATTCTTATAAATAAATTTAAAATTTTAATTCATATTAATTCTTGAAATTTAATTTAATCATTTACACAAAAGTTATTGAAGGATCAACTCTTATATTACCAGCTAATTTAATACATACTTGGAAAATATGAATACAACTAAATGTTATCTTTTGTTTTCCAAGTGGTTTTATAATTAAAATC